CCTTCATTTTTGTTTGAAATAGAAAAGTACTTTAACGGTCAAACTCATTAGTCCAAGGCAATATCAAAAAGTACCTAATAACTACGGCGATAGAATTTAAATACATGTGCTTCGATATTAAAATGAAAAAGTTTAAATATCAAAAAAAAAATAGTGGCTTGGGATTTGAACCGCCGACCTTCGTACCAACGGCGGCGAACGGTAAGGCCACGAGACCAAACTAGCATATATGATGACAAACTTAAATTTGATGTTGGTTTTATCTACCTAATATCTGTCATCCGCGTCGAACACTTTTAGTAAATTTTGAAAAATGGTTTGATGCAAAGTGTCAAATGAATGTAACAGAAGTAGTTTATTCCAAATTGAATCACAAGTATATAGAGATAGAGTTCAATTTTGTCAAATGTACCGATATTTTTGCGCACCTTGACTGCTTCGTTACTTATGACGCTGTGGCTGCTACGATATTTATGAGCATCTTGCATGTACTCATATATTTGACGCTGTGTATGTACCGATGTATTTGAGCAGGGTGAATGTATCTATTATTTTGAGGACTTTTGTTGTACCGATATAATTGAATACTTTTGGTGTACCTATATATTTGCATATCTTGTCTGTGACGATCTATATGACGCTGACTGTACGTAAACGTATGTAGTATTCCAATTCCAAAAATAAAATATTCCTAATGTTACTTATTCAGAGAAGTTCAAAGTACTCCATAATACCGTTTAATAAGGATCTTATCAAGAACTAGAGCAGCCGCCTCCCACGTCGATAGCTAATAATAGATAGCGACTCTTATAATTCGCTGTTAACAAATTTATTTAGATTTTTGCTTTTATATTTAGACTTAAAATGTTACTTTTCATATTTATTGTAATAAAGGTTCATCAAGGCCATTGAAAATTAAAAAGCAGTCTTCACAAAGTTATTTTATGTTTATTTCATAAAAAATTGCTCATATATAATTTTGAGAATTTTCTGTAAACTGAAGAATTTATTGCTAAAAACACTGTTTAATTTTTGTTTTTACATTTAGGATGACAAGACTCATTTGTTTTATTTTAACTTTTGTAATCTGTAAATATTTTATTGGATTTTAAATGGTCAAGTATGTTAAATCACCCACGCCTTTTTTTAATTCACATTTTTTTTTGGTAAAACTTACATAATTTTACAGCGCATGATGGTTGACGAAGCAGACATAGACCCGATGGGCGCGGTGCGTGGTGCCGGCGGTGGCGGTGCCGGGGGAAAACGTGGCGCGGAGTCACCCCGAGCGGTGCCGCCCAAGCGCAAAGCGGGCCCGCTGCCGCAGCACGTGGTGGCGCGACGCCCCTCTTCGCCCGCACCGCCCCCCACCTCTCCGCCTCCCGCCTCACCGCACCCCGCCATTCCCTATGCCCTCACGCTTCCCCTGCCCCCGCCCTTCGCGTCGCCCCCGCCTGCTGCGCCGCTGTCGCCAGTCACCACGCGCCGCCCCGCCTCCCCTCTGGCGCCTGTGCCCTCCGACCTACCATCGGGACGCCCACCCGAAGTGAGTGTTGTCTGTTGATTTCAAGTCATTCGCGATATCACATAATTTTGACGATAGTATAACGACATGATAACGTGTTTTCCAGGAGCCGCCCAATATGGACACGGGAGGACCCACCATCACATTGCCAGTTCCGCCTTCACCGCCTGCTACGCCTACCAATTTACCGCCTGTAGTCAAACCATTCCTCAATGGAGGTATGTCTGTGTTTCAGTATTTGTTGAAAAGTGCATCAAATTTAATAGTGTTAACATTTTTAACTTTAATTTTCAGATGCGTACACAACAATGGGCAGCAAGATGCCTCGGTCGCCATCTCCGCCGCCTGAGCCAACGAGTGCAGGCGGAGCTAGCGGCGCGAGCGCGCCGAGCCCCGCCTTCAGTTCCCTCGTGCCCATAGTGACGCACGACTCGCAGGAGCTGCAGATAAATGCTATACTGCAAGGCATCGCCGCCGAGAACGAGTCCAACTTGCGTTCAAAGAAACGTAAACGAAAGGTAAATCTTACTACTAACTCATAAATGCTATAGTATATATGGATGCATGGGTGTTTTTATCACATAACTTCAGAATGGCTTCTTTCTTTTCACGCGGATGAAGTCGAGGGCGACCGCTAGAGTGAAGGTAAATCTTAGCAATACCATCGTAAAATTAAATAAAAAGTTAAGTTTACAAAAATTCACATTATATTTACCTTTATAATTTGTGTTCGAACGTCAATTACATACATATTATTTTTTCAATTAATCGATTCCTTGTTATGAACAAAACTGTTCTCTTTTTGATTTAAAAGAAAAAGCTCTCACTGCAATAATATTTTCAGACGGAAAAGCCGGCCGTGCAGTTTCTGCTGCCGCCGCAGCCGTCGCGCAAGGAGCTAGCGGATATAAAGAAGCACAATCTCAACGTTCGTTCCGAAGTGTACCGCGCTGTGCGGAGACCTGGAAGAGGTAACACTTTATCACATGATCATTTATAAAATATTATATTAGGTAAATGGTGTCAAACAGGTAGACACTTGTTAGGTAAAAATTGATTGATTAAACATGCATAAAGCATATACGTCAAAAATTGTAATTAATAATACTGGTAGCCTCTCAAGATAGTTGGTATGTTTCTAAAATTATTTCTCATATCGATTTATGTTAGGCAAATTTCTGTTATAATATTCGGTAAGGTTCGGAATGTGTAGTGAAAGTTGGGGCGCTCACTGTTGCTAGGTGAAAGGCGTCAGCTGTGTCATTGACTTTTTATACTAATGTGTTAACACGTGTGGTTCCGACACGGCCTTGAATTATAATTGTCTTTTCAACACATCAACAAGTAAATATCCCAATGGTCAAATTATCGCACGATATTTTTGAAACGAGAAATGCTTATTTCAAACTATCTTTAAAATCAAATACTTTCTTTTCAGATTTTACGAAGTTATTCGAATATTTGAAAGACTTAAAGGGTAGCGTGGACGTAAAGAAAGAGGTGATACGTGACGTCATCAGCGAGTCCCTGCGGTTTAAGAGGAAGGGGCTCGCGAAACTTCTAGAAGACTTCTTGGTGAGCCTCGAGAGAAACGGCAATAGCGCCTCTGTCGGTATGAAGCGGCTGAACTCTGCGTACAGCGCCGGACACAGCTAATGTACTCGAGCGTGTACAGTGCCGGACAAAGCTAAAGCAATCGAGCGTGGACGGCGCCGGACACAGCTAGTGCGCTCTAGCGTGTATGGCGTCAGACACAGCTAGTGCACTGACGTGTTTGCAGCGCCGGACACAACAATTGCCCTCAAGTGTGTACAGCGCCGGACACAGTAAGTGCACTCGAGTGTGTACATCGCCGGACACATCAAGTGTGTACAGTGCGGGCACCGCTAATGTACTCGAGTGTGTACAGCACCGGACACTGCTAGTGCACTCGAGTGTGTACAGCGCCGGATTCAGCAAGTGCATTCAAGTGAACATTTCATAGACTAATCATAGTTATACATGCAATACTATTTTTTTTAAGTAACTGAATCGTCTGCTCTGGTCAATGTAACAGTAGATTTTATGTAAGCATTTCTTGAGCATTGTTATTTGTATTTATTTAATATCGTCAACATTTGTTGCACTCCCTTTTAAAAGAGCTTTTTAATTAATTCAACAAAGCGGTAAATAATTTGTACATTCCATATCTTGTAGGCGAAAAACTTTAGCCATATTTAGTCAAATAAGTTACAACAGGAAAGTATAACTAAAGTTTTTAGTATAAAATCACAATAAATTCCCTTGTTTAAAATTGAACAAAACTTGACACAACCTTTAAAGTTTATAAGTTGATCGATTATCATGAGAAATTATTTTTTAAATTTACTTTATAAATGGTTTAAAACAAAATCATATAATACAAGAATTGAAAATAATACGCGAACTTTTTATTAAGACTATTTATTACTTTAGTTATTATATTAGTCTTTTTGCAACTTACTCCTCTAAATTTGCTGTGAAAAATGCCTCTAGTTACACGTTTACATAAAATCTAAAGTTATAATGAGCAGAATGTAGTGTGAAAGTCTACTAGTGAATTTTATTAGTGGATTAATATTGTTACCTTTGCAATATGTTGATAGGATAATTTGATTTTATAATGAAGCATAATTCGAATAAAGGTAAACGCTTTACAGCCGTGACACAAACAATTCGTAACAGGAATGCGATATTTAAGTATTTGTCATTTCATTGCATTTGAACAGTATTAATTTTATTTACGGACATTGAACTTTCGTCACGGTTGTTCAGGACAACAGATAAGTTTCTGTCACTTGTAAAATCGTATCGTCTCTTTAAGGTACGTGTCCATTGTCCCACACCGGACGCACTGTACACACTGCTCGCAATCATATTCGTTCGCTCTGTATAATTTTACAAAGCGCTGTATACATAATTCGCGACGTCGTATTGAATTCATTTATTGTTATGGGCCGTTTGTGCGATACGTCCGGCGTGAGCCAATGAACACGTACCTTTAGTTTTCTATAAAAAAAACCGAGATAGCAATTTTGTACAGATGATTAAAGTAAAAATTCACGGGATGTGATAAACTCTGACAGCTTTTTAACACTGTACTATAATTGATATTACCTTCGAATTAGAAAAGGGATTGCGAACAAACGCCACTCGACAATTTTTTTTCCCACGGCATAGTTCATAAATGTAATTATAAAGTAGGGTTTTTTTCAAACTACTGCATATATTGTTATTGTTGAATTAAATACTATGGCTGTCAGAGCTTGTTACAAAAACTAAATTTTCAAAGCATTTACTAATAATTTTGTTTTGTATTAAAGTCAATCTTAGTAGCTTTCCTCTGCAAAAACACGCATATATGTATATGTTATCTCTATTTATTCAAATAGATTGAAAGGGATGGTTATATGTTTCGGTGTTTCCTCAGTGGAAACCCATTCTTAGCACTGTGTCCACATACCGAGTCCTGAGTTTACCATACGGGGCACAAATTTTAGCTTTTAATGAATTCAAGAATCTGTAATAAAGTGAAACTGATCTGATGTAAGTCAGGTAGGAATGACTCGATAACATTTAGATCTCTATATTGCAAGTTGTAGTATAAGATATCCGAGAGGTTTTGTTTGATCCAGACAGTCAATGCTCAAGTAGAATTCATTGAGTGTTGTCATTATGAAAAATTGTGGTAAATGGAAACGAAGCAATACAATAGGTTGAATGTAATGTTTCGCGATGGTATGTCGGTGAAATTGTTTTGATAAATTTGTAAATAGCGTTGTACATAATAATTTTATTACAATTACCAATGAGAATATATATTGTTTGAATGCGCGCGTGACGGAGTGAAACCCGAGAGCCAACGGTCCTTTTGGAATTCCTCTTTGTGTTCGTGTAAATTTGTAAATGTTTATGTGATACTAGATGAAGTTTTCACAGTTTTTTAAAGGTCTTAAATGCATTTAAATATTTAACAAGATGGATTCTATAAGGGGCCTTTTGCTCTCAGGGTTGTATGGTCAATTGTAAAGTGTATATATCATTTTATAAATAAATTATAATCCTTTTTGGATTTTTATTACTGTGTATTATTAAAAAACCTTACCGAACGAAATTTCAACCGTAGTGGCTCTGATAATCTAATGTTCGATATGTCTTATCAAGAACAATTAAAAACGTGAATTCTATAATTCTAGTTCAAGTAATATGATATTTATCTATAGATGTAACAAATATTTAACAAACAAAATTTGTGAATCATTACAATATTCTTGCAAGATTACTTACTAGGGTTAACAAAAAATACTAAAAAATGTGAAACCCTTGAATGTGTAACAAGTCTGGCAGGTCAAAGACGGATGGAATAAGTTCAAATGTATGGAGCTAAACAATGCAACCACACCGTACTCTGAAATCCCACGGCGAAACAAGTTTTGTTGGGAGCGTTCTCTTTATAGTAATCGTCTTTAAATTTTATTTCACACACATACATTACTTAATTTCATTGCATTTATACTTACTAGCTGTCGCCCGCGATTCCGCGCGGAATTAAGGAAAAACTTAATTATGAAGCTATTTCCTACATCCATGCCCGATTTCAGCGAGATCAATGCAGTCGTTCTGGAGATATCTTAAAAAACATCCATCCATCCATTTAAACATTTGCATTTATGATATTAGTAAGATTATTTTATTGCATCTTTATGCGTTTTAATCGTTGTATTGCTTCTCGCTGGGTCATATTTTTTACCAATACTAATGTTATTTCTGAAGTAAATCCGCACGTCTTTATTTTTATCGCGTCGCTTTCACATGGCTGCCTATCCATTAGATTATGAATTGATTGAGTGCGGCATTCATCAGAGCGCGAAAAAGAAAAGATTTCGACGTAATAATTGTTTATATATTGATTTGTTTACATATTGAAAGTCACTGTTAACTAACTTATGCTTTAAATTACACAAAAAGCAGTATAACTATTTTTTGTCACCTTTATTATCCGCTCAATTACTTAATACTCTCAATTTACAAAAGTTGCTTTAGTTCTATGTATGTCGGAATCTTGTTAAAACATCAACTTTATATAGTATGCTTACACCGTAACCGAAACAATATTGCGTGCAAATAAGGGTTTTTAACCGAGTTTGATTATTGCAGCGCGCGTGAAATTTAAAATATAATCTACATCGAGAAATAGTTAAATATATTGTATAGTTACAAACGTAACACGATAATTACTTAATAAATAATAATTAATTTCATATCATTTTAATGAAAAGGGACAAGATAAGTGGAACATAAAAAAATCTAAACTTTCGTCTCATTTTAATAGGATTCGACTTGTGCAAAGACAAATTGATGGATACGGTCTTCCATTCATCAATCAAATTCTATATCATTATAATTTTTTTTCATCAATTTCTATTCTTATATTCAAAAATCAGAACTTATAACGTTCATCTCTTTCTTTACATTTTAGACGGAAATGTAAAATTGTAAACAAAGATAAAAAAACTTCTTGTGATTCTCCAAAGCCTTACTTACATCCATTGTTACGGATGAGTTATCCCTTCAAGTGATTAATCGGTTTTCTTATCTCAGGTTCAGCCTGTCAGACTATCGGTTACTTGTGGCTAAAACTACGAAGGCGACAAGCCAATATAAAAACAGCGCTCAGAAACAAAGACAAAAAGTGCGGATCGTTACAGCTGTCGAACGGTTAAACCACTATATTCAAAATTAACATGAAATCTTTTGACGATGTTAAATTATTTCCTTTGTTCGGTGTAGTTGGGATGTTAAATACATGTCTTGTTAAATTTTAATTTTGAATTTCGCGGTTCTACATACGCGGTTTACGCGTAGGTAAGACGACTCTATTTTTATTCTCTCGCACATGTGGGTAGTTAGAAATCTCTCGCCGCTATGATATGGCGCGGAGCTTGCGGGGTTTGTGCGGGGAGTGCCGTGAGTCGCCAGTCGAGACTTAGCATCGGGAGTCAACTGAAGTTGGACGGAAAGAATTACACGTTGCACGTGTAGGTTTCCTAGCGTACACGGTCGCTTAAGGTTACGGTTCCGACAATGACGGGTCCATATCGTGCTTATGGGAAGTGGAGGGCAGCACCGCTTGCGCCTAAAGACTATTTGTGACTTATTTGACTAGATTGACGCAGATAGAGTGACCAGGAACGTGCAGGCGGTGAACGAGGCATCAAGTTGGTAAGTGCCACTTCATCTATTTACAATATTTTTTTTTTCAGAGGGGAATGCTTTGTGCATACTCCGCGCCCCGGGGGGGACGCGGTAGTTATGTGGAATTCTCCTCCATAGCGGAGGCATACCCACTAAACCCCTCTGTTCCTCCAACGCATCGGGACGGGACCACGGGCACGCTTTCGTTCTCGTCCGCGGCCCATCTATTTACAATATTGCGACATCTGCAACACGTAGCCTATTGGTAATTGTATCGTGGGAATACATCGCTGAGAAAGTATTTTCAGTGGGGTAGTAAATTATTCCAAGCTAGAAACATTTTTAATAGATCAAGTAGTTTTGTTAAATGCTAATAATCGTAGTTATTGAATATTTAGTTGCTTACTTACGGCATAAGGATGATTGGCTGGTAGCTTGTAGCTGGTAGAGAGAAAATTAAAGCAATTTTAGCAACGAATCCTTAACTGTCCTGTAGCAGAGCTGTGGAATTAATTAATTCTCTTAATAACGTTCAAGAAACGTTGCTTGAAAATCTCAAGAATATATTTTATTCAGGTTTATTCAGGAATTAGTTATAACTGTTCTTTTAACTTATCTATGTTTTGATTTTAAGTTCCGTTATACAAATTTAACAATATACGTTTATCACCGGAATGAAATACTAAGGTTACGAAATCCTTTTCGAATAGTAAAATGAAGGAAGGGGAAGTGGATTTGGCGGTGGTGGGGATGTATAGGGAAGTAAAATGTCGTTCTGTACGTTAAATTATTTTGTTATTAAAAGGTAGGCAAAGCAACCTCTCAGTTGATAGCAGATGACTATGGGCAGCGCCCATATTCCTATAATAACAAATTCAAAAACTACTTGTTCATTTATCACTTTACTTTCAAAACAAACAAAACCCTTTGTAGTTTAAAAACAAATATTTAAATGTATCTTGATATGTTTAAATTTGTCATGTTTACTTTTACAGTCGGCAGGTAAATAAATATTCGCTCCCATGGAATACGTAGTTTGCAAACAAAGTGGGCACACTGGGGAA